CCGTAGGAATTGTGTCCACCTAAGGAAAGACAGTGCTGATAAATATAAAAGAATAATGATGCCATTAAGAAACGTGAGTCATCTGGGTGATGGGAGCTGGCATCCCAAATTGATTTTCAGGCTTTGAACAATTCCCAACATGTAAAACAGTTGAGAATATTTAATTTTCCCCTCTCTCCACTCATAGCTAATTTGTATCGGAGTTGGAGACGGAAAGATCAGTTGATCTGAGCATGGCAAGAGACCCTTCTAACAACCAAGCAAAGGCCTAAAACAGTAAATAGCATGGGAAAAGGCAGGAAAAAAATGGTTCAGCAAGCAGCTGCACCATAACACAAATGTCTGAAAAAATAAGTTCCCACTTCTGCAGTAATGTGGACACTAATGTAACATTCTGCTTTGTGCTGGTTTCAGTAATATTTCTGTTGACAATCATGGGGAAAAGAATATGTAGCTACTAATGCTCCCTGCTGGGCAAATAATTGCAAAATGCTTCCTCTGTTCCTGCCTCGTCATAGCAGCAGAAATCCTGCCTCCTTTTTTTTTTCCAAGCAAATAAAGCACCTTCTTCTTATCTTTGGGAAAGGAAGTTGGGAATGCTTCTGCCTGATGAGGAGGGTGTGTGTGAGAGCACGAGAGGCAGAGGGAGCCAGGAGGCATCTTCTTGTTAGGAAATACTGGGTGATCAGGCTGCGTGGCATTCCTCTGAGATGAAAAGGCACACAATTCCACAATTAAACGAACACTGGGAGCAGGTTTGCAGAGCGAAGCCGCTCAGCAGCTAGACCTCTGCTTTGCTCGGGCCTCGCTGTGATTTACGGCTCACTCTTGATCAAAACCCAGAGAGGGTTTTGGCTCTGAACCCTGCAAATGCTCTGTGTGCCCCAGGCTGGGCTGTGTGTGCACAATCATTGCAGAAGGCAACAGGGTGTAGGTGCAGACCGAGCAAGACCGAGGAGGGAGCTCGCTGGGCTTGCACGGCACCAATTTGGTGTGTGGCCTTGGTGCTGCTGCATGTGGCTGTGCTGGAGAAGGATGCAGGTTCCTCGCCATGCTGAGCTGGCCCTGAACTCTTTCCAAGCTCGTATTTATGGCTGGAGAGAATGAGTTAGTCAAGGTGCACCCTGGGTTTAAGGGTTGGTCCCTGCTAAAGTGTCATGGCACGGCGAGGCATCAGAAAAGGGGCAGCCTTCGTTTGGACTACTGAGTGTCTCCAGGCCTAGAAATGCCACTCAGCAAGCTCAAGAAATGACAGTGTAGGCAAGAAAAGAGCAGAGTGCTCAGAGAGCTTTGCAATTTTTTATTTTTTTGCTCAAATTGCATGTGGGCCCGAAGAGCACCCTGCACACAGAGGAGCCATGGAGCAGCTGCCTGCTCCTCTACCTGGCTGAGGTTCTCTTCTCCTTCTCATTTTTAGCATTCCTCTACTTCTTGAACCCCGACCTTGTTCTCCTTATGAAGTGAGGGGGAGCTTAGGTCCTGGAACAGACATGGGCAGCCCAAGACTGATGTTCTCATCAGGAATTCCCCCTCCAAGGACTGCAGGGAGAAGGCTGCCAGAGATGCTTGCTGGGAGTGAATTCCTCACATTCCTACCTGGCCTGGCAGGATGATTCAGAGAATAAAACCTGTGACAGCAAAGGCAGGGGAATAAAGTCTCTTCCCAGGTCTTCTGAGAGCTGTTAAACGAGAGCCATTAAAAAGGAAACCCTCAGTGCCCTGAAACCTGATAGATACTAAGGTGGACTTGGCTGTGAAGTTGCTACTGATGGGTGGCACGGGTGGCACGCGCAGAATGTCCTCAGGCAACAAATACAGCCCTTGCTGTAATGAAGTATTCACGGAATTCGGGAAAACAGGTTTTTCTGTTAGGTTTTGCCTTCCCTGCTGCAAAGGTGGCGTGCTCTTCCTCCAAAGTGATCAGTGCAGGGTAAGTCTCCTGCTCCAATTTCCTGGGGGAGGCAAAGCACTCTAATTTTTCATGGGGTAAATCAGGCTAAGACAGCAACGGGGCAGAGCATATGCATTCACCTCACCCAGCTACACTGCAGTAAAACCTAAGGTTTTCACAGCTCTGTTCTTATCTCACTGGAAAAAAAATCACATTTTCAAAGGAGAGAGGACTAATCTTCAGTGCCTGGAAAAGGAATCGAAATGGCCCCTTACAGATGCCAAGACCAAACTGCTCAGACTAAATGGCACTTATTCAAATTTGCTGCCTATCATCACAGTATTGCCTCTGTGAGCAGAGACAGTAAGTGCAAAGCGGTGCTATTTCATCTAAGTGACACTGAGCTTTTCCCTACCAAGTCATGGTTTGCCCTTGAAGATGAAAAGCCATAAAGCTGAGAAAAGCTGATGGATACAGCTTAGGAGCAAACTGGAGCTGTGCTCAGAGGAGGGCAGAAGCAATCAGAAATTCAGACAGCTTTTAAAAGGCAAATGAAGATACAAAAACAATCAGTCACAGCCTATCTTAACTATACGTTTTATTGCAAAGTGAATCATTTTCTCAGGGTTTCAGGAGTAATGATGACCTTTTGCAGTTTTATCTGTAATTTTACAGATGTTGTCACTCAGCTGTAATGCTAATTTAACCAGGCAGAGAAGGACCCACCTTAACAGGAATGCAGAGAGCAAAGTGAACCAAAATGAGGATCAGAGACATAATTCATATGGGATTCTTAATTTGTTCTATTACTCTTAGAATATGATTTATTAGTGGGATTTTTGTTGTTCACAGGTACCCAGTAATGCCTCAGATCACGTCGGTTTCATCGTTCTATCAGATGCATATGGGTTTCAGGTAACCAAGTGCACATGGCACCTCTGTAGCAATAAAGATAAAAGGACTGTTGCCTTCTGGAACAAGGCTCTGATACGACCTGTGCTGTATGGTCTCATCTTTCAAGTGTTTGTCACAGGTATCCTCAGCTGCTGTGGTTTCTGATGAATGCAAGGAGTGCAAGACAGTCTGTGAGCACCAGGCTTGCTCTGAGACACATGTGGGGTCAAACCCATCATGGACTTAGCTGCGGTGATGCCTTAGCTTGGGTGGCAGAAAAGGATTGCAGTGCCAAAGCAGCACAAATAGCGGTGCTTTTGGTCACTTAGAGAAGAAAGAAGATGGTTACCTAAGTAAGTGTAATGGTAAAATGGGAAAGAGCTGGGCAACGTTTTATGTAACCTCCTAACAGGCAGCACTGGTCTGTCTTTCTGGTACCACAAGGTCTTGTCATGGAGATGACAACATGGCAAGAAGGAAGCACCTGTAGGTGCTCGGAATCGACATGGGAGAGTTTCAAATGCAGAGGATGATCTTCTAATCTCAAGATAGGATGTCAGAGAAACTCAGTCTCCAGCCGGAGACAGCGCACACAGTGGAGACAACCACAGTGCGTTGTAATCATGCCTGGAGCTGCAGTGAAGGGTCTGCATCCAGACCACCATGTTCTCTATTTGTGGGGAAAATTAGGTCCTCTTACGCCTCCTTTGTGCTACAGAGGGCCTAGGTAGGTTGGTGCCTGAAGGAATCTAAGTGAGGGTCTTACACTGGCTGCTGTGGGATGGTGAGCAGCTTGTGTTGGTGGGGGCTATAGACCAACTGAGGAGGGCAAAGGAGTTGCTATAACGCCATTCGCCATCATCATTTTCAGACTCTTTGCCCTTTTCTACCTTTCCTCCCAGGTGAAAACTATCCTGCCCTCATCTCTTCTGCTTCCCTGGAGTTTCCAGCCTGACTCATCCTTTGGCCTCCCAAGCCCTCAATTTTGTGCTCCCTTCTCCAGGCTGAAACGGTGACAAGTTTCACTGGCCTCCTTTGGAAGTCCCCCTGCCTTGGGGTTTTTAAAGAGGAATCTTAAGAGTCCTGCTGGGAACTGACTCAGGAACACATCCTTGGGGTTGTGCCCCATCCAAGCCCATTGATCTGCCACTGGGACCCTGGCATGGAGGCACTAACAGCCCTAGGACCAAACCGTTTCTCAACACATGCCTCCCAGATGTGTAACTGTCACACGGGAACTCCTCCTCTGGCTCTGTAGCTGCCTGGTTTACACCCGCACAGGGACGAGGGCTTTGAGTCCTCCCATTGCTCCACCAAGTGTCTGCATCGAGACCACCCAAAATCATCAGGAACAAAACCAGACAGAACAATAACTGCAAACCTCCCCCTAGACATTCAAGTGGAGGGAAAATGTATTTTTACACATTGGATTTCCTCCTTTTTCCTCCCCCCCTTTGCCAGCATCACTGTTGTACGATTTTAAAAGTGCCTCGTTTGAGCATAGGAAACAGGCTGTAGAGAATCAGCTCAGCTCTGTCAGAGCCTGGGGACAGCGTGAGGCTTTTTTCCTGCCTTCTCTCTTGCCGTCTGCATTGCAAAGCTGGGAAATTTCTGTTGTTCTGAGGTGCTGCCTCTGCAAGCAGTTGTGGTCACAGCTTCTATTTCTACGCTGGCAATTTTTGACATACGCGGTTTTCTTTCTTTCTTTTTTTTTTGGGTGTGTAAAGAAACATTCCCCCACCACACTGGTTCCTTTCAGCCCCCAGGGAACTGGCACCTCTTCAAGGCCTTTCCCTCGGGAAGGGGCCCCGGCCTCTCGGGACGGTTCGCGGTGGCCGGTACCTTCCCGCAGGGAGGCCGCGGAGCCGGACACGATGCCCCGCGTCGAGCGGCAGCGGGAGGCCGGGCCAGCGCGGGGAAGACGTCCAGATTTGAGCGGGGAGGAGCCAGGGCCCGCGCGACGCTGGCGCTGGGGCGCTCGGCCTCAGTCGAGGCGCTGGGCAGGCGCGCGGACGCCGCGGGGAAATGCGCGAGGAGTCATCGCGGGGAGGCATTTCCAGCCCAGGGGAAGGAGCGGGCCGCTGAAGGGAGCTCACGGCGGGGCTGTTGGAGCAGAAAGCACAGGGAGCCCCGCGGCTCTGGCTCTCCACCCCCTCCTCCACGCTCGCATCTGGGCACAGCTGTTTCCCGACGCCCGTCTGCAGCTGGACGCCGCTTTGCAGCAATGGAAGCGAACGGCAGCTTCCTCGCTTGCAACAGTAAGTCAGAGAAATGTCTTTATGCTTCAGCTCTCTCCTACTCGAACCAGAGCTTTCTTTTTCCTCCTCCTTCCCCCTGCCCTCTTTGCCACCCTGTGCAGTGTGAAACCCCATTTACAGGAGGGTAACAAGTGATTTTTCCTTTGTTACTAGGGCTAGCTGTGTTGGTAGGAAGAGTGTGTTGGCTGATGAGAATATGCAGGTCCTGAAAACTTGATCCAAATCTCCTCCCCTTTCTGGGTGAGACAGCGAGTGGGACAGATGCTCAGCTGGGTAAATTCCTGGGTCTCGGGGGAAGACAGCGGGGCTCAAACAAATCAGCCCCAGCTTGGGAGCTTCCTCCCAGACTCTCAAATACTCAAAAAAAGTGAAATAATATTCCTAAAATAGAAAGAAGCCTTCCTGCCCTTTCAGCGAGTGAGATTTAGTCTAATCATTACAGGGACTGGGAGGCTTGTCTCATAGACAGGTCAAGAAAACATCCCTTATTCCCTGGTCTGACTTTCACCTATTGATTTATTATCTCTTCCTTGTATTTTCCTCACTCTGATGCGCAGACACAATTCAGGTCTGTGCACAGCTATCGCAAATGGTTTGAAAGGGGATACTGCGATCCCACAGAAATAGGAAGTCTCCAGTGCTTATTTTTTAATGAGATGCTCGTTTTCTTAGTGTGGTAAAATAAAAGCAATCAAATTAACGCAGCAGTAAGTGCTTGTTCTTAAATATAAATAGTTAGCACTACTAGGAGAAATGTGAAAAGGCTCCCCCGGGCTCAAGAGCTCTTCCCTCTGATTTCCCCCGATGTTAGAAATCTGAGAGGAAGGTGAAACAGAGGTTAATGTTAATGTTTTTTGTAGGTATATCATTCATTATACAACCGCTGGGGAAAGAAAGCTAGAAATACATCTGGAACTATTAAAATCTTTCCTATTCTGGCTTGTAGGTCATTTTTCAGTGAGTATTATTTAGTCTTCTGGGGTTAGGAAACGACAGGAATTTGGTGGCTGCTTGTTTTTCTGTTTTCTTGTCAGAAGTAGAAAAGCATACCAGGGCTGGATGAGGTAAGTTTAAAAATATCTATATTTATGTATTTACTGAAATTCCTTTACACATAGACTCACAGTGGCGAAGTAATTTTGGATGCCCCACTACCTAGACAAAAAGTTGCTCACGTATTTATTTGTGAGCACGAGCAGACTTGTGCTATGTAATTTCTCTGAAACTGCTTGACTGCTATGGTTTATAGATGTGGCTATGGCTATATGCTGAGACGCCCTTTCTATCCATGCAGTGAAGCTATAGCTTTAATACATGTGTTTTCTATATCAGAACTAACCACATACGCAAAATCCTATTGCAGTTAAATATTTGACAGTGAGTAAAAGATTTCTTTTTTAATAAAGAAATGATATATTATTACATATTTCTCATTCATATAGAAATCTAAAAATATTTTATATAATATCCTCAGGTAACAAAAGTGGATTTTACTGTAGATGAGAGCGTGTGAAATGTTTTCAGAGCTTTTTTTGACTCTGAATTTGGATGGAGATGTGAGACTTAGGATGAAAACTCAGCATGATCCTGTCCATTTTCTGTAGAGTCAATGCAGCTACTTTAATTTAGTTGTCTGTGCCTTTTATTTTGAACGTGTTTGAGTCAGCCACTTGAGCTTCTTGTTGCCTTTTTTTTTTTTAATAAAGAGTCATCTGCATTTATTATGCAATAACGTGGCTGGGCTATTAATAATCTTGATCTTGACTCATGAAGCTGGCATGACCCTAAACTGGGAGCCCTTGTGCTCACAGAGACTATGGAAAGACTAATTTGCACTATGCCTTATTCTTACACACTGCCCTCTTCATCTCGGACACTGCTCACATTGTGTGCGCAGAGCCCCGCGAAGGGGACGCGCTCTGTGGCAGCCCAGGGTGAGCATCAGCAGAGAGGCAAGAGCCATCCACTTCCTCATTCCTCCTGTCAGCCAGTCCCAAGGATTTCTGCTTGATTTCAATTTCCAAATGAGTCATTTCCACCTGCCCTGTAGCTGGGAGTCTGGAGGAGTCTCCCTTTGGGACCTGCACCCGTGGGTGGAGATTGCTGCGATGCTGGGGATGAGATGGGATCTGCTCTGATGAAGCTGGAGCATTGCTGCTCTCCGGCCTGCAGAACAAAACCCTCCTTGCACACCCGGCTTGGTGCAGAGGATGTTACAGATGCGTTGCATGGAAGGCTTTGAACCGGAGCATTACTACGGGTGCAACAGAACGTGCCATCGTGACACTTAGCAGGACATGCTCTGCAAGCTGGCCCTGTTTTCAGACAGGACAATAAAAGTTGTCTTGGGACATTTCTGTTCTCATGCAAAAACTGCTGGATTGGCAGTTGGAGTGCTGTTTTTAGTAAAACTAAAGCACACATTGGTTTTTAGACTCTGTTGCCAGTGTGCAAGACTCCAGCACAGATGAATAGGGGCAAATAGATGCTTTGATGCTCTGGAAAAACATATTAAAATGAGGAACAGAGAGGGAGAAGAAGGAGAGTAGTTTTCCAGTCACTTGGAAAACTACTGCAGGTAGCTGAGATCAAAGCCAAGCGCTGGAAGAAGCAAGGAGAGGTGCATGGGTAAGAGATGGCTTGGGCAAGACCTGAAGCTCTGCTAACTGGATGGGCAGCTCCGGAAGCCAAATGTGGCCATGATGTGGGAGCAAAGTATAGTTTCCCTCACATGAAGGTAGAAATATATAAACACGTATTTATGAGGGAAAGCCACAGACAAGCACGTAGTGATTTGTGAAATAGCAAGTCAGGAAGTGCAGGGCCTTCAAGAAGCTCTCCTGAAGGACTATCATAGCATGATTGCTGGGCTAAACATTGCAACACCCAGGGTGGATTCAACTGGATAAATGTGGGTGTCTATGTGAAATTTTAGGCTTATAGGAATCGAGATAGGCGAATTGCACTCCTTTTGTTTCTGCTGGCATGATTTCAGTGTGCTGTAGACATCTGAATATAGGTGAGACTAACCCCTAGCCCACATGTCTCCTAGGTCCTTACTGTAGGCCAAGGGTCTCAGTCCTTTCTCAAGCCCACCAGGACAAAAAGCTGCAGACTTTAACAGGGGCATTTCACTTTTGCTTTATTCAGATGGAAATTTTCCCACAGTTTCTTCTAAACTTAGATGATCCAGTATAAAAAATGTGTCTGCAGAAATTGGACTGCTTTTAAAGCCCTTTGTGCAGATACACAGTGCAACTCTCATTGCCTATTGCTACCTAAATTTAGAGTAGTGAAATTCCAGATAAGTCAGTCAGGAAAAAGAAAAATATGATTTTTTTCCTAATTTTGCATAATTTAATTAACCTCTCCCCCTCCCTCCTCCTCCACTGATACTGAATGGCAAGAGTAACCTGCATTTGGCTTGCAGAGAAAAATATAGCTCCTGATGCAGAAGTTGGCAAAAGCTGTAAGGGACCAAAAATTGGAAGCTGGAACCTAGCTTGTTATGAAGAGAACCTAGATGCTATGAAGAGAACTTCACTGCCACCTGCCCAGAAACATGACTTAATGCATAGGGAGCAGTTATGCAAGGAAACTGCACAGGTGCTCCTTGCTGCTGGTTCTGATCTTGTCTATCAAGTTGGCACCCTCTTATTAAATTACTTTCCTCCCACCCTTTTTCAAAAATTGGAAGCTGGAACCCAGCAGTTATGTTATGAAGAGAACATCTTCACTGCCAGATGCCCAGAAACATGACTTAATGCATAGGGAGCAGTTATGCAAGAAAACTGCACAGGTGCTCCTTGCTGATGGTTCTGATCTTGTCTATCAAGTCCCCTCCTATTAAATTACTTTCCTCCCACCCTTTTCACATCAAGCTGGAAAGGCTGTAAGTTACTGTGGCCTGTGTGTTTTCTGGTGCCTCTCACTCCATTCCAAGCGAAAGGACCAGTGCCCTTTGGTCTGCGTTTGAGATCCTGAGTGTAATGAAGGGGTTTTGCCTGGATTTCATCAGGAGCACGTGGAGACAGCGCTGGCTTTGGAGTGGTCACTGCCAGTGCCGTGTGTGGATACAGGCATCTCGGGAATGACCCCGAGTGGCAGAAGTATTTCTGTAGTTTTTTCCAAGTAAAGGTCACCCCTCAAAGCGATTTGTCTCAACAAGCAGCCTGGATCTTTTCTAATAGACAGGGCCAGGGCTCTGCACCGTGTCAGCTCGCAGCCTGGCATGGGTTTGGCCTGGCTGCTGATGGCATGGGCCAGGGACGCTTCCCAGTGGGCAGGATGGATACGAGCAGCCTGTTTTGAGGAAAGATGGCAGAGCCGTGTGGACTGATCCGAGCAGAACCAGGGGACAGGCTGCTCCTCCCAGAGACCTTAGAGCAGGTGAGACAACCAGAGCCTAAGGGGCCTGAGGAATATTGAGCTGGGTTTCAGAGCACCAGAAACCGACCCACCATGTGGCTTTTTGCCAGCATTTTAGGCGCTGATTTGGAGGACAATCCCATGACATGCTCCTTGCAGGGACAACCATGTGAAACACCAAGATTCATCCCAGTATCACTTGGCCAGACCTCTGAAGCACCCCGCAAGGGTAGCTGAGCAGGAAGAGGAGCTAGGGTAAGGAAGAGATAGGGTTGCTGATGTGGCTGTGTGCTTCGTGGAGAAGCCCATTCTCAGTGTCACCACAAGGTGGAACTTGGTACATATCACATGCGCTGAAGATGCATCCACGATAAACAAGCAGAAGCATCTTTGGCTTGAGATGCCTCAATATTATGATCCCAGCACCCATTCCCTGCTCCCGGGTCCCACAGACATAGTGAGAAGGGCAAAGCTGGTGCAGAGGAGCCAGTGGCATCTCTTGGTGGTGGGTAGAAACTGGCTAATGGTACCACTGATTTGGAAAAACACAGGGGAAGCCAACTGATTTCTCTTTGCTTGAGAAGTTTTGTGCTTTTCCTAAGAGCAGCCACTGCCCAACGCTAGAGCTGGCT